TTCATAAGTGCAATGAATCTTTGATGTCCAGTGATCCGCTGCAAACAATGAAAACAAATGTTAAACCACTTAAGAACTTTCCAGCACTCATTAGCTGCATTTCCTTAGGTGACAAAATAGGATCCACAAGGAGAAAGCAAGTTAAGTGGCGTTTAGTTATTGGAGGGATACTTAGGAAACAACAGTATAAGTAATTTCCTGCTTAGAATGATTTCTATTCCCCTTTGAAACTAAGTGATTTGATTACAAGGTGTTAAGAACATTATTTACTTCATCCGAATGTCCATACTACCTAAGTGAATAAGGATAGAACCCTATGCAGGAATCCTGTATTTTTTGGGAATTGTTTCTATGTTTACAGATTCAGGGGAAGAGCAATCTTCTATTTGTGAGCTCTCCAACTCCTCAAAAAAGACAACAAATGGTTTTGACTTGGTAGTTCCACTCCTGCACCCCTCTGCCCATTCTATGTTGGGTCACATTGTGCTGGCTGGAAATAAAAATACATGTGCAACTGTTTATAATCACTTTGAAGGGTAATATGCTGTACCATAGAAATAGAGCTTTGGATCTGATACAAGAATTCAGAAATATAAAACAAAATAACTATAAAAGTTAGGATTTGAATAGCATTTGAACAGCATTTCCTCAGAAAAAGTGGCTAATTCTGTTATCCCATTGTGGAGTCCTATAATCATTTGGGGCAAAATGCATAACTTTCTTTCCCCTTTGCTGGATCACTGGCCTTTCTTCAAACGCTATAACTTCATGACCACACATCCTAGGAGTCTCTATAGTGTTAACAGAAGCTCCAAATACCAAGCCAATCAGAGATGGGAGAAGACAAGGTAATCATAAAGGCGAAAGGTCCAAAGGAGGCTGTTACTGAGAACTGGCCCTTTCTAAAATGTGAAAGTCATAGTTCTTCTTGCTTGTTCTCAGCTTAAACTTGTTAACTGAGTTAATCTGCTTCTTCAGTGCATTCTGCGCAGCTGAAATGGAGGGGAAGGTGGCTAAGACGGTGTATGTGGAGGCCAAGTCACTGGGTTTAGAGCACTCAGAGTTGACAGTGCTGTCCCCGCTACCATAGCAGAGGGGGTGACGCCGAAACGGGTGCTGGGACTGGGGGTCCCGGAGCCACCGGATCTTGGCGCCAATTTTAAAGAGTTCTCCAAAAAGCTTCTCAGCTTCCATGCGAGTTATTCCATCTGGTAGTTCAGTAATTTCCAATACCTTGCCAACAACTAGAATGAAAAAGGGGTAGCATTAGTACATCCCTGTTCCCAAAAAGATGCAGAACCAAATCTGAATAGGAAATGAAGAGAATTTTCTGAAGCCATTCAAATCTACAAAGTGGTTATGACCATCTCACCCGATCCCCACTTAGCCCTTTGGCAGGGAGTATACAGTTAATGGCACTGAGCTGCTGCGTTCAGTCTTCATGACAGGGACACACACCAAGTGCAGTACTGTACAGTGCATTGTGGTCTCAGGCGGTTTTCTCAACTTCCACGTTCCCATTGTAAAATAAAGATAGCCACCCTAAGGTTGTTGTGAACCTATCTGAGAAGCCTAAATTACAGATGGCATCACATTCTAAGGCTTTTGGGGGAAACTCTAGGAAGAGGAAAACCATTTCTGTGTGGTGGCACATCCTTAGTGAAAAAAAAAAAGGTCAACTGTTTGTAAAACCACCTCCACTTGCTCCTCAAGAACCCACCTGCTTCTCCAGCGCCTAGGTCAGTGGATGCAGCTTTTTTAGCTTGTTTCCTTCCTCGGTTTCCATGCCTATTGCCAGGCTGACCCTGAAAACCCACAAGTAGAGCAGACGCAAGATGAACAATGCTGAAAAATGTGTTTGGAATGTTAACAAACTTAACACTTATGTTTAAACTCCATCTGAATTTTGTACTTCAGGAGGAAAAAAAAAATTGCAGGTCTTCTGAATTTGACTTCTGTGGCAACAGCATGTCCATCCCTCACTATGACCAGCTACTTGTTGGCACTTTCATAAGCAAGTTAACAGTAACTCTAACCTCCCAGCCACTACCCACCTTCTCAGCTATGCTCTTGGTGGGGCCAGGCATTATGTTTATAAACTAGCTGGTGGAGGCATAGAACTCTTCTCTGTGTGGCAGCAAAAATGGGCTCAGGGGTCCCTCCCATGTCCCCAGCAACGGACGTAAGAAGTTTGACCAACAGCACCTAAAAAGTTTTCGTACCTGCTGGTTTGGGATGTGGCCGTGCAGAACAGCAGGTGGGTTGTATTGCAGTGGTTGGCCTAGTAGCGGATATCTGCTATCTCCTGCAAGTTAATACATTACGTTTTAATGTCTTTCTTTATCCAGTACTTCCCAGAGCTTTCTAAGTTGTTCAAAACAATTAAAACGAGCAGGGGAGAAAAGACATGTTTGGGAGAATAAAGTAAGTATAGGCACTGACGTATTATTAAAAGAAAGATTTCCATATTCCTTTAATGAGCTGGGGTAAAGTTCTGACAGGACTACTATAGTGCTTGTGAAGGCGGCTGAGACGTGGAAACCAGGTGCACAAGGGACAGGATGGAGAGACACTTCTCTGTATACTTCTAAGTATTTCATTTTTGAACCATGTCAATGTATACCTAGTCAAAAAATGAAACTTATAAAAAGAATCTTGATAAAACTTTGACTCCAAATCCTAATATTGTGTTGTGAAGTGCCGTCGAGTCGGTTCTGACCCATAGCGACCCTGTATCGGGTTTCCGAGGAGCAGCCGGTGAGCCTGAACCATCAACCTTGCAGTTCAAACAGCTTTGCAGTCTGGCGCATTAACCCACAGCGCCATGTGAAATACACCAAAATAATAGCCATTCCATCCACGGCAGCACTGACCTCCACATCTTTCTATTATGACTAAAGTTTAATATAACTTACATTTCAGGAGAAGGACAAACCTGGATACACATTAAATTCTATCAGATACTGTTAGTATGGAGCCCTGGTGTGGCCCTGTAGGATACACACTTGACTGCTAACTGCAAGGTCCTGGTTCAAACCCACCAGCCACTCCTTGGGAACCCTATAAAGACAAGGTTGTTCTGAGTCTGAACTGACTTGATGGCATGTAACAACAACTATAAATATGTGTATCTATGAATTTATGGTGTGGCCACAGGGTGAAGCACTGGACCGCTAAGTGAAAGGTCAGGGGTTCAAAGCCACCCATCACTCCTTGGAAACCCTATACAGGGTTGCTTATGAGTCAGAACTGACTAGATGGAACTGAATAACAGCATGCATTTATGTATACTCATACAAGCCTTTTAAAAGTTAAAAAAATATATATATTGTTATAAAAACATATGATAAGCACTGGACTGTGGACCACAAGGTCTGAGGTTCAAGCCCACCAGCCACTCCACAGGGGAAAGATGAGGCTTTCTGTGCCTGCAAAGACTTAAAGCCTCAGAAACTCTACATGGGGTCACTATGAGTCAGAACCGACTTGACAACAACAAATGAATACATGCTTTATCAAAGTTAAAAAAAATTGTTATAAAAATATAACATCCCTTTGGTAGCTTCTGACTACATTTACGGTGTGGGGAGGACAAGCTGGCTTGGCAGGGCCCCAGGAGGTAGGGCAACATTGTTTGGGGTGCTGCAGTGGCAGCTCAGTTGCAGGGGGCTGCGGCTGCCCCACCTCCTGCAGCTGCCAATGGTAGGTTGGTGCCTGAGGGGAGATGCTGGGCTGTGGCCACTCTGCTTGGTCTTTCGGGGCTTCTGATTCCCACTAGGCAGCTAATCACAGGTGCAAGTCTGCAAACCCCTAGGCTTCAAGTGCTACTATGTATATGCTGTATGTAATATACTATGGTTTTCTACACAACTACCAAATCACATAAAGTCCTATTTCACAGAACATATCAAGGACATTAAGTGATAGAATACCTAACACATTTGTTAAGTCAACATTTTTCAGGTATACAATTTAGTGGTATCATTACATTACTCATGTTTTATTCTTCTACAATTTTAACCATTGGGTATATTTACATCCTAAATCCAGGGTCTGTTCTCAACCTCTGTTTATTATTTCTTAGTTCAATTCCAGGTTTGAAGGGTATCTTGGGAGTTGTATCAGTCTTTCTCAAACCAGTTAAGTCTGGTCTTCATGACTTTGAATTCTGTTCTACATTTTCTTTTGACTCTGTCCAGGGTCTTCTACTGCAATCCCAGTCAGAGAGGTGGATAGTGGGAGCCAGGCATTAAGTTGTTCTTCTAGTCTCTCAGGCTCCTGGAGGCCGTGGTTTGTATGGTCTATTAATCCTCCGCACAAACTGTTTCCTTGAGTCCCATTTTTTTCACTCCCGTTTGCTCCGGAAGGGGAGAGAACAAGAGTTGTATCTTAGATGGCTGTTTGCAAGCCTTTTAAGACCCCAGACACTACTCATTAAAGTAGGATGCAGAGCATGGTCTTTATGAACTATGTTACACCAATTGACCTAGATGTCCCCTGAGACTATGGTGGTCATAAGGCCTCAAGCCATGTGATTCAATCACTCAAGGTGTCTGTTTATGGCTAAGAAGCTTGTGTAACTCTACCATATTCCTGGATATATCTGAAGCACCTACTAAACACATATGCAGAAATATCCTCTTCCAAATCTGTATGAGTGGACTTCACAAAGTTAATGGAAATACGTAATTAAAAGATAGTAGCATTTTCCCACAAACTTACTGAACCCTCCTTATATATGTTTGTGGGCTTTCAATGAATGCCTATATTTATAATTTGAACTTGCTTAGTAAGAGTGGCCCAGTTTTTGAGTGTTAATTATCAGTAAGGATCCCCCTTCCTATATCAACAAGGCTGGGGCAGTCAGGTGAAGATCCTCCACTCATTTTCTTTCACTAAAGCCATCATTTGGTTAAGTGCTCAATAGAATACTACTGTAAAAACTATGTCTCAAATATTATGTTTTTATTTGTGCTACATTAATCATTTTATTTTAACCACAAGTTTCCAAATCTAGCATCTTTTGTGATTGGAGGAGGGTAATAGGCAGGTGCTGGTTAAAGACCTTCAGGAAATCTGATAGCTCTTCTCTCAATAGCTTTACAACAGAGAGAAGCAGGGCGTACATTGCCTACCACACCTTCCACCCATGGTGCTCTCTCTGACGAACACTGTGAAGGGGCTTGGTGTCCTTGGCAGGATACACTCATGCCAAATTCATTCCCTCCCAAGCTCTAGTGGAAGGGTACAGACATGACAAAAGGACTTGGCACTGAGATCAGAACGCAATATACTTGTGATGATACACAAAATTCAGTTGCAAATAAATCAGAGTTCAGTATTAAGACAATCAAGTTAAAAAAAAAACAACCCCAAAACCAACAACCCATTAATAAGCTCAAAAATCTAGTATTAATAGAATATAAGGAAAGTTGCTTAAAAAATTTGGGGAAACCCTGGGTAAAGACTGTTGTTTTTATGTGCCATCGAGTCGGTTCCGACCCATAAGCGACCCTGTATAGGGTTTCCGAGGGTGTAAATCTTTACGGGAGTAGAAAGCCTCATCTTTCTCCCGCGGAGCAGCTGGTAGTTTCGAACCGCTGACCTTAAGGTTTGCAGCCCAATTCGTAACCGCTACGCTACCAGAGCTCCTTTACCTAAGATTTAATCTTCTGGAGCAAGTAATCTTTTCAAATGTGGAGAAGAGAAGAAACTGAAGACTGCCTACCCTTCTTCACAGGCATTCTCACGAGATGATTGATCTCGTGATCACTGGACGGCCACACAGTATTTGTTCCCTATGTCTGTTCCTCCAACCAGACTGAGAGTTGGTGAAGATTAGGCCTTTGACTTCTCTTTGCATTAAGGTGCATATAATATGTTCTCAATAAATGTGTTTAAATTAACTTAAAAAACAAAACAAAAAGACCCCCCACAAACTTTTTGTTGTGAATCGAGTGAAAGTTTACAGAGCAGATCATCAGTTTAACATTCAGAAAATCATACACTTTAATTCATTACAATGATGGCAATTTCCTCAATGTACCAACAGTTACTTTTATTCACTTTAACTAGTGCAGTCCCCCGTGTCTCTCTCCCACTACCTTCATCCTTCGTCTGTTAACCTCCCTCTAGGTGACTAACTCGTGATAAATGTTGTTCAAACATAGATATTACAAATATAGCACAAAAATAAAACTACTGTGATTATGGAGCCTTGGTACAATGTTGTAAGGTAAGCACTGGGCTGCTATTTGCAAGGTCAGTGTTTCCAACCCACCAGCCACTCCTTGGAGACCTTATACAGGGTTGCTATGATTCAGAACTGACTTGACAGGCACTTAACAATAATATAGAGAAATAGATTTTAAGATTAGTAAATTCAATCCATTTTATTCTATTATGCAAATAATTACTGAATGATTGATAAATTTCAATCATTTCCTGTGAAAATCAGATTTTCCACCTCAACTTAGCTGTGATTCTCAGCTCAAGATAAAGCTGCTTTATAGCTATGCTGCTTCTAGTATTTACACCAAGAAAGTAAAGGTAAAAATGACCCCCATTTCACAGGTGAAACAAACGCTAGTCTTAGAGATGAAACTTTAAGGTACGCCGCGTACACAGTAATGAATCTACACATACTTGGGAGAGGTGGAAATGCAGGCCCGATGGAAAACAGATTGATAGTAACACAGTGATTGGGATGGATAGCTCCGAACTCTGAGGCAGCGACTGGTTTCATGCACACTTACCTTGCCCAGGGACAAAAGCTCTAGAAAACTGGGACATTACAGAAAGTGGTGGTCCAGAGGGACGTACAGCTTTCAAGGTGGACAGCTGAGCTGGTGCTGGTGACTGAGCTGGTGAAATGATGGGGCTACTGAGTTGAGGGCTATGCTGCAATTATAACATGTTGAGAAAACAAGTCAGTGTTTTACAAAGACTTTTTGAACATTTCCTTTTGGATAAAACTATATTATTCTTCCTGGTTGCAAATATGTTACTTGTCCCCTCCAATTTCCAAAGATAAACTCTGGTAACAGACTGTTTCTATGCATGTACTTTTTAAAGTCTGCTTTTCTATAGTTCACAATAATATTTCCCATGACAGAATATATGCATCTACCTCATTCTTTTTTCTATATTAAATGTTGTTTTGAATTTTACATTTAAAGAACTTCATCATTAAAGAATAGTTGCAAAATAGTATAAAGAATGCTGGGAATTCCCAAATGCTAACATTTTATTATATCTGCTTTCTTCTCTGTACACCTCTAGATGCTCACTCCTCACTTACTAACATGGTTAGTTTCCAAAGACCAGATCATTGAGCAAAAATAGATTATTACATGAAAATGGAAGATGACCCCCCCCATCAGATCATAAAATGTGGGATGAGTACATCATACAGAATTGCCAAATTACATGACCACATAACTGCCAAAACCACTGCCAGCATGGCTCTGGCTGCTCACCTCCGCTTTCGTGACTCCACACAATAGGTGGGTAGTAAGACATTGGCACCCACGCCTCATGTAGTGACATGGTTAGGTTCAGAGCCAGGTTGTTATGAGAAAACTGGCATTATGCAGGAGTTGGGTTGTGCTCCATCTTGGCACCAGTCCTCTGTTCCTTGCTCAGTGCCCTCAGATGCCCCTGGAGTGTCTCTGGATGTATGTGGTGTAGTGGGTCACCATTTTGTACCACTGTGAAGCCCATGGGGGTTTAGGGTTATGGTGACCAGGGAAAGTTCACTGTCACTAGACAACAGGGGCCCATCATCATTACCTGGTTACACTCCAGCCCTCTCTGAGAAGACCCTCCAATTTTCCATTCCATCAGACTGGGAGTGGGTCTAGGCAGCAGATAGATCTCAGGCCTGAAGGTGGGTGAGGCCTGGCCACCTGGTCCCAGCGGAAGCTTGCAGAGAGGCTTCTTTGTAAGAAAGAACTTCTGAGCCTCCCACCTGACTCCTGCAGGCCTGGCTGTCCCCCTGCTCCTGTGTGCCTGGCCCAGTTCCTCCACCCACCTCAGGTACTACAAACCACCTCTCACGAACTATCTCCAATTTTTCTTACCTTGGTTCCTACTTAATTTGCAAAATAGTATTTTACTACTGTCATAAATGTAAAATGTCAGCTAACAAGGTAATTAATGAAGAGTAAGTAGCTCTGGGATATAGGGATTGAGGCACAGTTTGAATGGGTAAAAAAGGGGAAATAATGTGAAGATGCCTGCTGTCTTTTGAATCTTGTTTCCTTTGCCTAATATTGTAAAATAGACACTTGAGCGGGGAGAGAAAGGAATAGCCAGAAACATCACCATAGAAAGCTTGTAAGTCCGTCTTCAGCCAATAACTGATAGGAATACTTAAAATGGGGCTAGAACTTGCCCAGTGAAGGAGGCTTCCTGTGGAGTCTCTGCAATACATAAGACCATAGGTGGAATCCTGAACCCCATCCAGAATCTTCTAAAGTGGGAAATTTCCACTTATAAGGACAAGCAGACCAGCCTGGAGTGGCTAGAAGAACAGAAGATACTTCTTGAAAGAAAGACCAGCAGAAAAAAATCAAAAACAATAACAGCAGTCTGATCGACTACTATAAGAACAAGCAAGTTCTTTGCCCAGGAGCCATAAAGGCAAGTGGTCAGGTCCCCTCAGGGCAAACCCCCTTCCAAGACTGAGACTCAAGGGGAATACACGAACAGGCTTGTGGTCTTGCTGGTGACCACGCTGGTCTACCGATAAGGGGAAGTGGGGGAAAAACAGCAATGAAGCTGTGAGCTAAGTCCAACCACACTCAATAGACTCCTGTCAACCTGGGTTGAGACCTGGTTGGCCAGTAGTATGGTAAGACCTGGGGACTCCTGGGCCAGAGACAGAAACATGGCCATAGGAGTAGAGCGGAGACTGAAGCATCAAGCTAAAGTGAGGGGAGATGCACAAGAACACCCATACTTGAAGACAGTACCCACTTAACCTGGCTTCAAAATGCCTGGATGATTAGAATTTGACTAGAGAAAGAAAGAACAGGAAAAAAAAGTAATCTGCTACAATTTGATGAACTTGAGCTTCTATACTTACAGATGTAGTAGCTCAAAAGAGGGAACCAATCTTTATAGCGAGGATCATTCCCACCCCTTTGGTACACAGGATTGACAGGGATGGGCAACTTAAACATTGGCTATCGAAAATGGGGGAGGGAGGCTACAAAGGCAAGAAGTAACTGGCTTACAGGGTGTTAAAAGGGAGTCTAGTTCCAGAGGGTACCGGATAAGGCAGAATCTTCACTGAGTGGTTTCCAACCTGTCTGGAGGGGGCTGGTGAAAGGAGATGAGGATAAGACTCTTGTGGTTCAATAGTGAATAATTGCTATCAGGATTGACAAATATAAAGGTAGACGTTTTGTAAAAAAAGGAGGGGAGTGGTTGATCTTATAGTCCTAGAGCAAATGACCCTGGGACCATTAAGGGAGAAGAGTAGAGTGTGGGACCCTATCCAGAGAAGGAGGCAGAGACAATGACATGGAGTGATGGAGTAGCTGGGGACTCTAGTCTCAGGGAGGGAAAAGGGGCTGTGTGCTGATGGCCAGGGGGCAGGCTTGCAGGGTATACCCTTTGGTTGCTTGATGATGCATGGAGGGGCTTGTAATCATTGCAATGAAACGAAATATGATAGGATGAATGTAAAGCTGATGTTCTCCCATATAAACGATCACTCAATTCACAATTAAAACTTAAAAAAAAAAAGATGTACTGACTCACAGATTATTATTTTATTCTACGAATTGTTGCTTCTGAATCCTAGTGACCTATGTACAGCAGAACAAAACACCGTCCAGTCATGTGCCATTGTCACAATCATTGCTGTGTTTCAGCTCATTGTTGCAGCCACTGTGTCAATCCATCTTATTAAGGGTCTTCCACTTTTTCGCTGACTTTCTATTTTACCAAGTATAATGTCCTTCTCCAGGGACTGGTCCCTCCTAATAAAATATCCAAAGTATGTAAAATTAAGTCTTGTCAACCTCCCTCAAAGGAGCTTCCTCCCTCTGGCTGTACTTCCAAGACAGATTTGTTCATTCTCCTGAAAGCTTATGGTATATCTGATAAACTTTACCACCAATCTGGTGTGGTGCTGTAGGATAAGCACTGGACTGAAAGGTTGGTTTGAACTGCAAGGTCAGCAGTTTAAGGTCACCAGCCACTCCTGGGAAACCCTATCACAGGGTCACTACAAGTCAAAAATGAGTCGATAGCACTTAACAACCACCTCAAAATTCAAATATATCAATTCTTCTTTTATCCACTGTCTAGAATTCATATGCCCATCCTGGTGATTAAAAAATACATGCTGTGAGCCAGGCACACCTTTGTCCTAAAAGTGACAGCTTTGCTTGTTTTAATGCTTTCCAGAAGTTCTTTTTTTTTTTTTCATATATTTTTTTAAAGCAGATTTAGCCTAATACATGGGTTGATTCTTTGACTGCTACTTCCATAAATAAGCCTTAATTGTGGATCCAAGTAAAACAAAATCTTTGAGAACCTCAATCTTCCATTTATCACATTGTTTATTGGTCCAGTTGTGAGAATTTCTTTGTTGAGGTATAATCCATACTGAAGGCTATACAGCCTTTGGTCTTCATCAGTAAGTGTTGTAAATTCTTTTCACTTTTAGCAAGTAAGGTTGTGTCATCTGCATATTGTAGGTTGTGGATAGCCTTCTTCCAATCCTTCATATAATCCAGCTTCTCAGAATATTTTTGCTCAGCATACAGAATGAATAAGTATGATGGAAGAATACAAACCTGGCTCTTACCTTTCCTGACTTTAAACTACACAATATCCTCTTGTTTTTTCAAATGACTGTTTCTTAGTCTATGTACAGGTTCTACATGAGCACAGTTGTGTTCTGGAATCCCTAATCTTTGCAATGCTACCCTTAATTTGTTATAAGCCTCACAAAGAATGACTTTGCCTAGTCAATAAACACAAGAAAGTATCCTTCTGGTATTCTCTGCTTTCAGTCAAGGTCCATCTGACATCAGCAATGATATCCTTTGTTCCATCTCCTCTTCATAATCTGGCTTCAAATTCTGTTGATGTACCCTTGCAACCATTTTTGAATTATCTTCAGCAACATTTTACTTTCATGTGATATTAGTGATCTATGAAAGTGTTATCAATAATTTCTACATTTTGTTGGATCACCTTTTTTTTGGAGTGGGCAGAATTATGGCTCTCTTCCAGTTGACTGGTTAAGTTACTGTCTTCCAAATTTCTTGGTATGGACGACTGAGCACTTCCAGCATTTCCTCCATTTATTGAAATATCTCACTTGGTATTCTGTCAATTCTTGGGACCAGGCTTTTTGCCAATGCCTTGAGTGTGGCTTAAACGTCTTCATTCAGTAGCACTGATTCTTGATCATACGCTGTTATCTACTGAAATGGCTGAAAGCGAACTAATTCTTTTTAAGTACAGTGACTCTATATATTCCTTCCATCTTCTTTTGATGCTTCCTGTGTTATTTCTTGTTTTGCCCATCCAGAGTCCTTCAGCATTGTAATTCTATTGATTTTAAACATATTTTGATATTTTTAATAAATAATTTGATGCCTCTTTAGTCTTCCAGCTGAACCCTGTACCCCTTGACGTGTCTTTATTCTTCTAGCATGTCCTTACTTTATTTTGCTCCAGGTTCATCAAGTACTTTCCTAACACTGACACTAGTCATTTCTCTTAGGAGACCTGCTTCCTTTCACTGTAGAAAGGTAATTAGAAATCACCTTCTGGATAGTGGATATGTTGTTGTTGTGTGCCTTCAAGTCAGTTCTGACTCAGAACGACTCTGTATAGGGTTTCCAAGAAGTGGCTGGTGGGTCTGACCTGTCCATCTGGAGGTTGGTTAGCTTTCCGACAGTGCCACCCAAGAACTCCGGGTAGTAGGCGCAGCTTATTCTCTATAGCTAATGATGAATGCCAGGACTGTTTTCGGATTTTCAGTATTACAACAAGGAAGCAAGAGACACCGAGCACAGGGACACTTCATTTAATTGAGATTTGCAGGTACTGTTTTTTAAAAATTTTAACAAACTGAAGGTCTGTGGCAACCCTGTATTAATCAAGTCTGTTTTTCCAACTCACAATATTTCAAATGTTTTCAGAATGCCCTAGTGGTGCAGTGGGTTGAACATTGGGCCACACACTAAAAGGTTGGTAGTTCAGACCACCAGACACTCCATGGGAGTACGATAGAGCAATCTGCTTCCATAAGGACTTACAGCTTTGGAAACCCTAGGGGTTGTTTTATAGGATTGCTAAGAGAAGGAATCTACTCAACGACAGTGGGTTTATTATTGCTCATTTGAGATTACAGTAGGAGTTTTGTGTGGCACTGTAGGGTAAGCACTGGACTGTTAACTAAAAGGCTGGTGGTTCAAATCCACCAGCTGCTCCTTGAAAACTCTATACAGGGTCACTATGAGTTGGAGCTGACTGGACAGTACTTAACAACAACAACAGTGTAAACATAACTTTTATATGTAATGGGAAACAAAAAAAAAAGAAAAGAAAAGGGTATGTGAACACTTTATTGTGATACCTGCTCATTGTGATATTTGCTTATTCCAGTGACCTAGAACTGAAGTATGCCTATATACATATGAAGTTTGATTACTCGTTCCATGATACTTACTGGACAAATTTATAGAATTAGATTTGTGGAACAAAGGCTATGCACCCTCTACAGTTTGAAAAATGTTATCAAACTTACTCCAGAAACAGTTGTACTAATTTATACTACCTATACACACCAAGAGTAGCTCTGGTAGTGTAGTAGTTATAAGTTGGGCTGCTAACCTCAAAGTCAGCCATTTGAAACTACCAGCTATTTCGCAGGAGAAAGATGAGGCTTTCTGCTCTCATGAAGATTTAGAGCCTTAGAAACCCTATGCAGGGTCACTCAGAGTTGGAACCGACTCCACGGGCACATTATCACTACTACACACACCAGGAGTGCAAAAGAGAACTTATAATTGGATATTGCTGCCAACATTTAAACTATTAGTCTTCCTAAGATTTTCCAATTACATAAGTAAAAATATTTTTATGTATTCACCTGTTTAATGACCATTGGCCATTTATAGTTTTTGAACTATCTATAAACGACCTTTGCTCCTTCTATTCTGGTATAACTTTGTCATATGTATTAAAATATTTCATCGATTTAAAAAAATTTTTTTTAAAAACCACTGAATTTTGTACTACAATTTCATGCATAAAAATGTGAAGAAAAGAATAGAATGAACTTCCATGTACCCATTATCCTGCTTCAACTGCAACCACTCCCTCCCTCTCCCCATGTTTTGTTTTCCTGAAGTACTTGCAGCAAATATTAACAGGGACATATACCACTTCACAGGGAAACATTTCAGTATATAAATAAACCTATCTAACAGATTATTGTTGTTAAGAGCCATTGAGTCATTTCAAACTCTGTACAGGGTTTGAAATGCCAGCCTTGTAGTTAGCAATCCAGTGCTTATCCTATAGAGCCACATTAGAACTTGCCATACTGTTGCTGTGTGCCCTCAAGTTGGTTCTGACGGAGAGCAACTTTAGGAGGCAAATAGTGTTTGTAGGCCCCACTTTTAGTGATGGGAAATTAATCAGTGGTTCAATGTTGTCTGCATAACTCACTCATTTCAAACATTTTACATAATGTTTTTAACATCTGCCTAAAACCTTCAAAAGTCCTGGTGCGGCACTGTGGGATAAAGCACTAGACTGCAAGGTCAGTTTGAACTACAAGGCTGGTGGTTCAAATTCATCAGCCGCTCCTTGGAAACCCTATACAACAGGCTTGCTAATGAGTCGGAACCAACTTGACGGTTGTTGTTGTTGTTATTAAGTGCCGTCGAGTTGGTTCTGACCCATAGCAACCCTGTACAGGGTTTCTGAGGCTGTAAATCTTTACTGGAGCAGAGAGCCTCATCTTTCTCCCGCGGAGCAGCTGGTAGTTTCGAACTGCTGACCTTGCAGTTCGCAGCCCAATTCGTAACCACTATGCTACCAGAGCTCCTTAAAAGTTGCTGTTGTTGTTTAGTGCCGTTGAGTCAATCCCGACCCATAGCGACCCTGTGTAGGGTTTTCAAAGAGCAGCTGGTGAGCTTGAACTGCCAACCTTGCAGTTCAAACGGCTTTGCAGTCTGGCACATTAATCCACAGTGCCACACCAGGACTTGAAGGTACTTAACAAAAAGACTTAGTGTGGCGCTATAGGATAAGTACTATACTACTTATTAACCACAAAGTTGGTGGTTCAAACCCATCATCTGTTCTTTGGAAACAACGTGACCTTAAAAATCGTGATTTTTCTAATTCTGCCTCTGCACCTGCAGTTATTACTGGATTTCTTTGATGAGCAAGAATGCTTCCTCATCGACTATCTGGCTGCATTACAGTTTATGTGGGAAAGGGAGGATCAATGTTTGATTCTTTTGATCTGATTTCGGACCTCATTTATCTTCTGATGTTTCAGCTAAGAATAATTTAGGAAAATAGAAATTGGGAAATACTACCTAAATACTGGAACAAAACATGGCCTGGTCCTGGTCCATCTTCAGGCTCGAGTTTACTGTTGTGGCCACTGTGTATTTTGAATGATCTCCAGCCTAGAAGGCTCATCTTCCAGCACAGTATTAAGCAATGTTCCGCTGTGAGCCATAAGACTGACATGGGCTAAGTTTACGAAGTTAATCGCCAAGCTTTTCTTCCCAGTCTGTCTTAGTCCGGAAGCGTCATTAAAACTTGTCACTACGGGTGGCACAGCTCCCATCACCACAGTATGTACAACAAGCTGACAGCTGCTGGGGGAGACCTATAGTTAATCAGGTAGTTCTTTTTGTGGTGGTGGTGCTGTGTGGTTGAGTAAATTTTGACTCACAGTAATGCAATGTGACAGAGTAGAAATGCCCCATAGGGTAATGCAATGTGACAGAGTAGAACTGCCCCATAAGGTAAATCATTGCGTTGGCCGGGGGTCGAGGGGGACCCAAACTCAATAGCAATATCGTCATCTTTACCACAGTACTTGCGGTTATCATCGTCGCTGCCATGCACAGGCTCAAGGTGGGCACGGCGGCCCACCAACTCCTTCACAGCACCAAAACGGAGCTGTTTACGGAAGTTAACATAGCCTTGAAGGTGAGGCGTCCCATTCTCCCCCTTTTCGCGGCCTACTATCATATACTTCACTTGCTCTTGCAAGCCATTAAGCCGCTCAATGTCCCCCTCCTCATAATTATTCAAGGTAAAGCACCAACGCATGTTGCGCTTACCAGTAAGCTTCTTAGTGGTCACAGCGGCCTGTGCCATCTCGGAAAGGGGCGCTTCCAGTGGGACTGACCTAAGCTATACTATTTAGGGGACTGTGTCACCAGAACATGGAGCAGCTGATGGTTTCCAACTGCCAACGTTTCGGTTAGAAGCCAATTTAGAAGCCAAATTGTCAAGTTACAAAATGATAATGAACAAAAGCAGCATCTTACCTGGACAATATTGTCCACATTGCTAAATTCCACACACTTCAGTCCCCTCTGGTGATCACAGTAGTATTTGCTTTGTTTCCACTGGGGAGGTGAGTGGGCATGAGCTTGTGGATTGTTTGGTATGTTGAGCTGCATCATCACCATTCCTCCACCAGGTGGCGGAGGCGGCACAGCTGAAAAACAGAACGGTATTTGCAATCAGGTACAACATTCTTATCAACAGAGAAAAGACTGAAGTTGTCAAGAACTTCATTCTTCAGGGATCAACCATCAACACTTATGGAAACAGTAGTCAAGAAATCAAATGGCGTATTGCATAAGGCAAATCTGCTTCACAAGACTTTTTTTAAAGTGTTGAAGAGCAAAGATGTCAGCTTGAGGACTAAGGTGCACCTGACCCAAGCCATGGTATTTTCAATGGCCTCATAAGCATGAGTGAATAAGGAAGACCAAAGAAGAACTGATGCGTATGAGTTATGCTGTTGGAGAAGAATATTGAAAGTGCCATGGGCTGCCAAAAGAACCAACAGATCTGTGTTGGAAGAAGTAAAGCCAGAGTGCTCCTTGGAGGCCAGGATGGCCACACTTCATCTCTCATACTTTGGACATATTGTCAGGAGGGACAAGTCCCTGGAGAAGGATATCACGTTTGGTAAGGTGGAGGGTCAGAGAAAAAGAGGAAGACTCCCAGCGAGATAGATTGGCCAAGTGGTAGCATCAACGGGCTCAAGCGTGGCAACAATTGTGAGGTTGACCCAGTGTTTCGTTCTGTTGTGCTATCATAGGGTTGCTATGAATCGGTACCGACTCGATGGCACCTAACAACAACAACAAAAACCAAACTGAACTGCCGTCAAGTCTAGTTTGACTCATAGGGACCCTATATAACACCATTTCCAAGGGTGTAAATCTTCATGGGAGTAGAAAGCCCCATCTTAGTTCTGCGGAGCTGGTTGTTTGAACTGTCAACCTTGCAGTCTGCAGGCCAGTGCTTATACTATAGCTCCACCAGTGCTCCTGATGCAATCTATACTTTTGACAAACAGTCTGTGTGTTTGAACACTAAGAAAATGACAATATTTTACATTTCTGAACAAAATTTTACTATTAAATTTATAAGCCAGATTTAAACCCCAGTGCTTCATGCTGCACGGGTTAAAATTGACCTCAGACTTACAGACAAGTTGTGTATCCTAAAGAGAGCAGGAAAAGCCAGTGACCACCTGCAGGACCCAGGAGACAGAGCACAACTGACATGTTTAACAATGGCGCTAAATTGTTTTTTTTAAGTTTTTATTAAGAATTGAGTGATAGTTTACATGGGAGAACACTGATTTTACATTCATCACTTCATTGCTGTGATTACAATCTCCTCCGGACATCATCATTTAACAGTATTTGCTTCTATTCCCTCTGTTTTTCTTGGGTTGGGGGGAGGGGGGTGGAAGGAAAAGATATACACAAAAACACTCAGGAATATATAATCATTTAAACAACCACAGGGCACATTCTGCAAGCCTGACTTCTAGCTGGCGCTTAATTTTTAAAAAGAAATAATTAAAAATAGGCATGATTATAAATACACAAAGAGCATCTCTGGGAGAAACCAATACTCTAAACACATATTGACAGTCCACACTCAACTTTATAGAGACTGAATCAACTCTGTGCACTGGAAGAAGTTTGGGAGTGTGTATGAGAAAGCACACTTTCGGTCCCTTGCAATGTCCTATGAGTCTGGGAAATTTATGCAACCTTTTAATTCCGTGCTGTCTCATCTGAAAAAATGAGGCCAGGAAGGTGTCAAACAATGTTCTGCTGTGATCCATAAGGTTGACATGGGCTAAATTTTAGAAGGTGAATGCCAAGCTTTTCTTCCTAGTCTTAAGCCTGTCCACTATGGGTGACCCTGCTGGTACTTAAAACACCACAGCTTCCATCATCACAGCAACATGCCAGGAGTTCCTGGCTGTCTCTATAGTGGTGTGAGGATGAGCTATGTATAAAAGCGGTCAGCTGACTGTACCGGGGAGATAAATGAACTACTGAGTTACTTGCTGCTCTTGTGTACCAGTGCTGCAGCATTACCAGTATCAGGTGTGTACTTTACCTGCCACCAACCAGGTCTGTGGAAAGTAGGAGCCTGTGCTTTCCCTCTACAACAATGGTTTATGAAAGTCTTCATGGGTAGTTTTCAGCTCTCTAGACACAGAACCAACCTGACTGGCTGGACAAGCCACTGGAAGGGCTGACGGCTGAGGGGCACCTCAGAGCTATCCTTAGCTACAGCAGTCCATGCCAGATACAGTCCATTATTCTATCATCTTTCATTGATGACCTGTTCTACACGAGTACAATTATTGTCAACAAATCATGATAATAAAATATACTGTTAGTTCTTAAGTGTTTTTAAGTATGTCAAAAAACCAAACTAAACTAAAACAGAAAAATCCGCAGAGGGAATAGAAATAAATATTGTTGAATGATAAGGCACGGAGGGGATTGTAATCATTACAATGAAACAAAATATGATAGGATGAGTACAAAACTTATGTTCTCCCACGTAAACTATCACTCAATTCACAATAAAAGCTTTAATATATATATAGTATTAGTATAAAAGTTTGTATTAGGCACTGTGAAAGCAGGGATAAAAGTAATACATTCAGTCTTTAGGGCTATCTTAGGTAACTTTTGAGCCAATTTTAAGGATGAACAGTGCTTTGGTAAACAGAGAAAGATGGTGAATAGGCACTCCAGGTAGAGGGAAGACCAGAGACAAAGGTGTTTTTGGCATGAAAAAACATAGCATATTCTGGAAATAACTTTCTTTATATTAGCATATAACCATAACTAGGAGGCTTGCTTACTTGCTAGGGAGGAGTTTAGTTAGGGAATCCATCTAAATTATGAGATTTGTTTCAGGACAATAATTTTTAAAAGTTTGTGTTGGTGGAAAGTCAGGGATGGGGAAAACATGAAACAAGAAAATAACTTGGTGGCGGTGGTGTGCTGTGGAGTCCATTCCAACGTATACAGACCCTGTATAGCATTTCCAAGACTTTAAATCTTAATGGGAACATAAAGCCTCATCTTTCTCTCATGGAGTGCCTGGTAGACTTCAACTACTGACCTTGAGGCTAGCAGCCTAGCGCATAACCCACTATGCCACTGGGACTCCACAAAATAACTTAGGAGCCGTGAAATAAATCACAAGACATGAAAATAATTGATCAGCAATGGGGAAAGAAAGAAGGAATTGACTGGTGATTACAGGACCGTGAGAGGGGAAGCAGAAGGGAGGTGATTATAATTAGAAATTTCTGCCTTAGTCTTCTAGGCTGAAGGTGACATGACGAATGTAAGAGGAAGAAGTGGGGAGAAATGCTGGGTCTGATGTAACACATCGGAGTATGGATGTCTGCTAGGCAGCTGGTTGGCCACATGGGGTTCTCTCAGAAGTAAGGTTTGGGAGGTGTTGGCCACAAGCTATAGTTGAAGTCTTGAGGGTGGCTAGATGGCCCAGGGCAATGAGAGGGAAAGACACCACAGTATTGATACTTAGCAGGCAGGCGAGGAGGAAGAGCCCAGAGGAGGGAAAGGATGGTGGTGAGGGGACAGTAGCAGTAGTTAAGGACCAAAAAGACTGAGTAAGTTAATACTGACTTCATATGGCATCCTAAATATATTAGGTATATCTTGGCATATAACAAGTCAAGAAAAAAACCAAAACACACAGTCAAGAACATTTTTTTTTTTTTTTTAATTCCTAAGGAACTTTACTTAGCTATTTCTCAAAAGGACAAACCATTTGCTCCCTCCCCCACCCCACACCTCAAGCAGTGAATACTCATACCTGTGCACTGGTGGCTTTGAAGCTGTTGGGAATTGCACGGTGACGTCGTTCGAGGAAACTGTACTTGATCTGATCCTGGGTGTTGTAAGTAACCTACTGAAGAGCTACGGGATAAAAATCAAACAAAAACCGCAGCACAATGAAATGCAGATGAAGGAAAAATCCTTTGAACAACTCAATAAAATTTAAATAAAGCTGCCTTTCTGATTGGCTAGCAGTAAAAATCAAATCTAACTATTTTTTCTATGAACTACAGCTACTACTTTATTGCATAAAAATATGATGACATGTTTAAGCAACAGCATTCATTTTTCCCAAAAAGGAAAAGTCAAACTAATTCATCACACTCACAATTTAACTTCAGTATTGTACTAAAAATTATTAAAAACAGCAATAAATAAAACAAAAAAATCCCCCAACTCACAGACTTTCTAAAATAAAGATAATTATTTGAACCTCACTGAGTTACATTTTAGAAAGTGGAATGTACACTTTAACACTGATGCGATCTAGAAAAATATTTTTTCTTAGAAAATCAAATATCTAAGAATAAAAATATTTTCATGAGTCTGACAAATTATGTAACATAAATACTGACAAAAATAAATAGCTGTTAGTGTAAGACCATTCAGTTACTGCTCTGTTTTTTAACAGTTAAGTCTTTGAGACTCTAATATGGGATTTGTCATAATACGTTTCTTAAGTTTTCTCTTTAGAGATTTAAATTCTTTCAGGATAACAGTTTGAAATCATAGAGTAATACTATAAATACTTACCCCAAATTCTCAAATAACCAAAAACTCTACATATGCCCAAATCAGAATCCAGTTGATTCTAACGTATATATATCTGTAGACAGAGTAGAACTAGAACTGTTCCACGGGGATTCTAAGACTGCAATCTTTATGGGGGCCGACTTCCACATCTCTCTCCTAAAGAGCAGCTGGTAGGTTCAAACCACTTTCCAGTCATACCAGTTACCTACCACATCACCAAGGCTCCTTCATTTACAGAAAAAGCCCTATTATTGATTTTCTTCATTTAAATAAACTTATTTTAAAAGCAGTATTTCTTAATCCAACTTGAACAAGGTTTTGCACTGGAACTTTTGGATAACTGGATTAAAAATACTAATTTAGATCCAACTACGAGGTCCTGGTGTGACACTGTGGGATAAAGCATTGGACTGCAAGGTTGATTTAAACCACAAGGTCAGTGGTTCATATTCACCAGACGCTCCAACAACAACAACAACAACAACAACAACAAATCCCTTTTGGACTTCTGGTGTGACAATGTGGACACAGCACTGGACTGTGAACCACAAGGTTGGCAGTTCAAACCCACCAGCTGCTCCTTGGAAACCTGATACAGGATTGCTATGAGTTAGAATCAACACAATGGCACTAATAACAACAACAACCAAATTATCGATGACACAAGGGGACACATTAAACGATACCATGATAATGCAATCAGTAAAATCCATACTATGGAAGACTAGACATGTATGTAAAAACATATGTAATATTTGCAGGACACCTGAAAATACAAATAGCAACTGGAAAACTTAATGGAAAGTGTCATGAATTTGGATGCCAGAGGTCACATGGATTTGAGCCTAAAATCTACTTTTTATTTGCTTATGACTCTGAACATGGTCTTTAAATCTTAATTTTCTCATCATTGGACATGTGAATAACACCTGTTTTTAACCACACTTATAAGGCTACTCTGAGGTTTAGAACTACTGGCTATGAAATTTTTTATATAGTAAATTACCATCTCTGAACCGTAAAGAACTCTAGAATAAAACACTTGGCCAGACAAGTTACAATACACAAAATAAGATCAGTGAAATGTACAACAATGAAAATGATTCAGTACCCACTAGAATTGTAAACTGAAGATTTTATCAGTATGTACCAAGACTTGAAACAGTCATAAAAAATACGTAAGCTAAAAGTCCTGCATTGGTTACGCGTCGTCAAGTTGTTTTGGACTCATAGCGACCCTGTTTAAGGTTTCCAAGGTTGTAAATTTTTAAGGAAACAGAAAGATTCCTCTTTGTTTAGTAAAGTGGTGGGTGGATTTGAACTGCTGACCTTGGGGTAACCTGCTACTACGCTACCAGGGATCCTTCCAAATGTTCTGCAATAGGTTAAATAAATTGTTGTTGTTGTTAAGTGCTGTCGAGTTGGTTCTGACTCATAGCCGCCCTATTTTCTGAGGAGCGGCTGGTGAGCTTGAACTGATGACCTTGTGGTTTAAACCAACCTTGCAGTCCAACGCATTAGCCTGCAGCATCACACCCAGACTCCAGATTAAATAAATAATAAAAAAAATACAATCCCTAAGTGCTATATTTATGAAGACATTTTTAATTACTTGAAAAAATAGTTGTATGCCAAATAACAAAATATATACAGTATGAGTTCAACTATTGTTAAAATGAGGAGACTGAGAAAAATTATGAACATGTCAACAGTGGGGATATGGCTTATTCCTGGTCATTGATACTGTTTTTTCTTTATTTTCTAAAAAGGCACACATACATTTTGGAATTAAAAAAAGAAAACTAACCACAAGAAAAATACTGTATCATCCCACTTATACAAAGATTTAGAGGCAAAAGTAGATTAGTAGTTAACTAGGAGCAGTAGGGGAAGGGAATGGGAGAATTAAAAGGTACTGGGTTTCTACTGTTGGTGTTGTTAGGTGCCATCGAGTCAGTACCGACTCATAGCAACCTTATGCACAGCAGAATGAAACACTGCCCGATCCTGGGCTGACAGAGGTGTTGAAAAGGCTTTAGCAATAGTGGCAGATATTCACTGTGACTATAATGAAAGTCACTGAAATGTATACTTAAAAAAAAAAAAAAAAGTTAAAAACAGCAAACATCGTGCTATTTATACTTTATCACTATGAAAACTGACAAAAAGGTCTGTTTTTTAAATGTTGTTTCATGATTTAATTTCAATTAACAATCTGAATCTGTTTCAGAAATTGTTAGCAGAGGTTTGAGCTTAGTCCCCTGGGAGAAAATATTAGTTGTTTTATGTATTTTCTAAAAGTGAAGGTGATTTCTACCTTACGTATGTATATATATATATATTTTTTTACTTTACA